TATTTGTTATTTGTAGGATAATGAATCAGAGACAATGAGGGATTTTTTTTTAAAGGAAGATGTAACACTCACTTTCTTAGGTACTCCACTTGGATTTGAACATATCCTTTTGGATAGATAGAATTCATATAAGTTAAGGAGAGGAGAGTTCTTTTTTCAAAAAATATTTTTTACTGATTTCAGAGAGAAAGTGAGAGGGGAAGAGAGAGAAACATCAATGATGAGAGAACCACTGATGGGCTGCCTCCTGCATGCCCCACACGGGGCATTGAACCCACAACAGGGGCATATCCCCTGACCAGGAATTGAACTAGGACCTACCTCCTGGTTCTTAGGTCAATGCTCAACCACTGAGCCTGCCGGGTTAAGCTGGCAAAATTCTTAATACCCAACACTGGTAAGGTCAAAGTGATACCAATAAAGCTCATAAACCCTTTTTTTAAAGGTAATAATGCAAAAAATATTAACCCCATAAAAATTTTCATACTCTTTAAACCAGTAGTCCCACTCCCAGAAACTGCCTTATAAACTCATTTCATTACAGGTAGAAAAAAATTATCATAATGGAAATTACAAACATCCTATATAATAAAAGAGAAACATGTAAATTGACCATCCCTCCTCCACATCCATCAGCCAATCAGGAGTGAGTATGCAAATTAACCAAAGATGGTGGGTTAATTTGCATACACAGGCGCAGAGCAGGAGAGCCAGAGGAGAGTGGAGCACCTTGGGGAAATTGGCTTCCCGAGCTGCCAGACGGAGAGCAGAAAGAAAGAGCTGGCGGATTGGACCCATGTAAAATGAATAAAAATATTGAAAAAAAAGACTGTACCCTTTTATTTAATGATGTTTACTTTGAATTTATATTAGTTCACACAAACACTCCATCCATGCTTTTGTTCCGGCCCTCCGGTCCAGTTTAAGAACCCTTTGTGGCCCTCGAGTCAAAAAGTTTGCCCACCCCTGCACTAGAGCAAAGTGAGCCTGGAGCAAGTTACTGTTACGGTGGGGGATGGAGGGAAAGCAAAGGTGAGAGACATAAGTAAAATCAGAGTGTCTAGGAAAAATTAAAGGGAAGATATACTAAAACTTCCAGGAAATCTCCAACAATGAAGCAAAGGAAAAAAAATGCCTCCATTATTCTATGAGCAACAAACCAAACTGAGTTGGGGTCTCAGGCAATTTGCTCATATGATTGCAAAGACAGACAGAAACTCCCGGATTGGAGAGGGCTCTACTGAGGGCTCCCAGATTGGTGAGGGTGCAGGTCGGGCTGAGGGACC